TGTACTGGGACAGTGAGGAAGAGTCCTCAGTGCTAAAGTCCGACTAAAGCACCCCCAAGAACTGGCTCTCTAGCCTTCCTTGGATACCTCCGTTGAAGGGGACCCTGTCGCCTCTTTGGGTAATCGGTCATTGGGAAGGTTTTTTGGACAGTCAGTTGGAACCCACCTTCTGTACCTTAAGTCCATTGCTCTACAACCTCCGTTCTGAGAAGAGAGACAAGGTCTTGCGGGAGATGGCATCCTTTGGGAACGTGGAAAGCACTGTCCTGCCCCGTCCCTGTTCAGTTGTCTTTGCCAAGGCGCCATGTGCCCAGTTCCTTCCCTTTCTCTCCGTGGGGGCTCAGCCATCTTTTTGTAGGTGCCATTTTTTATTTTCCTACCTTCACTAAACTTATTGTGTAACCACGATGGTGCCTTCCGTTGCCTCTATTTTTTTTATTGATGGAATTGTTGCAGTTGTGCTTTTAGTATCTCTTTCTTCCAGAACTTCCGCCTGTTTTCAGCTCTTTTCCACATTAGCTTCTCTTGCCAGAGGATCCTACTTATGATTGCTCTGAGTTTCTTCTTCTTTCTTCCTCCTTAAACCCAGCAAGGCAGGCAGGACTCAGACTAACTGGAGCATAAGACGGAGGGAAGGGAAAATTCAGGCAGGCTTGCAAGATTCTGTTACTAGAGCCTATCTCAATAAAGGAGAGTTCTAGTCTTTCTGTGAAATCAGTTTCCTGACCTGCTCCAGTCTGTCTCGTGAGGCTGGCATCCAACCAAACATATTGCCACCCGGCGGCTCTTCCTAAAGCAATCCAGACCCTAAGATGAGTGGCAAGAGCACAAGTTGGGCAGTTGGTGAAGCATCTGGAGGACAAACTAAATCAAATCAAATCCATAAATAATAGTAAACATCCCTCAGATCTACTCAGAATTAGATCCAAGTTAGCCCAGGCCAGGGGAGGTGACTTAGTTTTCGTCTTCCCAGGTTATCTGGGACGGGTTTCCTCCTGCGAGGCCCAAGGAAGCAGACAGTCTCCTGTGCTGTCTGTGGTGAACTGGAATGCTCAGTCCCCAACAAATGTGACTCCTCTTGACCCTCAGATAAGTTCAAAGTAAGAATCATTTATTGAGAAGTAGTACACAGTCTGCAAAGGATTGCCAAAACTAAAAAGCCCGTGTGGTAAACTCTACTTAACCACTGTTCTCTCCGCACCCCCCCTTCCCCTTCCATCCCACAATCCTTCTTGTGTCTTTCCCTGGGTCTCTCCTGGTCTCACGCTGGTACGACCTTGGGCATTCCTGAGAGACAGATAACGGTCCATCTGCGCTTAACGGTTGTTCCTGTAGTCATCTCCCCGCCCCCCCTGCCTGCTTTTCTACAATGGCAGAACCAAAGTAAGCTAGGTAGCAAAATGGTTAATTGACTGTGAGGCTTCTGACACTGCCCTGTAAAGTCTGGATGTCCTTCCACTAAGGAACAGAAGTCTCCAGGGAGAAGACGTGGGTCTGGGCTAGGGTGATGACTAATGCATCTTGGAGTGAAAGGGTGCTGCCATCTACCAGAAGAGAGGCAGTGGTGGGCCCACACCTGAAAAGGCTTGTGCTTACTTGGGCACAAACCTGGGGATGGCAGCAATTGTAGTTGTGATGACCTCTGGCAGGACTGGGGTAGGGAGAGTATGACCTTTCTGATACTGCTTGTTCTCCCAGTGACTTTCTATACCATCAGTGGTATCCTTCGGTCCTGCCTCCCAGGGTTGGGGGCATTGTTTTTTAGTAGTTCCCCTTCATATGGTTTGTGTGCATCCAGTTATGGTGATGGGAGGAGAGATGAAGCTCCAGGTTCCTCATTTGTGAGGTGCCGCAGGGCTCAACATTCTCCCTGCTCCTATTCAGCATCTACATGAGGCCACTGGGTGAAGTCATCCCTGGACACAGGGTTAGGTATCATCAGTGTCCTGTTGATATACAACTTTACCTTTCAACCTCAGGCTGTTGAAGTGCTGTGTGGGTACATGGAGGCTTTAGGTCTGGGTGGTGGAGGGGACATGTTGAGGCTCAGTCGCAGCATGATAGAGTGGCTCTGGGTAAGCCATCCGGTTCCAGAGAGATATCTTCTAGGCCAGTGTGTCTTAAAGTGTGGCCCTAGGACCCCTGGGGGTCCCCCAGGATCCTCTCAGGGGCCCATGAAATCACAATTATTTGCCAGCCTATGTTGAAAAATAATACAGTATTAAAATTCCAACAAACAATCATGAGAAGTGGTAGCGGCAGAAAATGTGTCAATTTTAATGTTTAACATGACAAATTTCGATAAATATAACCCGTACAAACAAAAGCTCTTTTGGAGTCCTCCACAATTTTTAAAAGTGGGAAGGGGCCCTGAGAGAAGAAAGTTTAAGAAACCCTGTTCTAGACACTCCCCCATACCAAACTGGCTCATAAAGAGAGCCCTAGACTTACACCTTTGGCTGAAGCAGCAGGTAGCAGCTATGTCCTTGAGGGACTTTGCACAGCATCTGGTATACCTGCTACAACTCCTCCTGGAACCAGACAGATGCAGACTCATCATCACTCGTGTTACTCACTTCTTCAATGGGCTGTTGCAATGTGCTGTACATTGAAGGCTGCCCTTGAAGGGCGTTCAGAGGCTACAACTGGTCCAAAATGCAGTGTCTCGGGTGCCAAGGATGCTCCTCGTTGTGCCCACATAACATTGCTGCTTCAGGAGCTGCACTGGTTGCCAGTTGCTTCTGGGTGCATTTCAGAGTGCTGTTTGTTTAAAACCCAAGTTCAGGGCCTTGATATCTGTGGGACCACCTTCGGATAAGATCAGTTAGGGTGGGGTCTGTCTGCATTACTTCATGCAGGTGTTGCCATCAGCAGGTGCCAGGAAATGTATCTTCTCTATCATCTCCCTCCTCCTCTGGATTAGCACTTGCCCAGACATTGGACCCTTTCCTTCTGGTGGTCAGAAAGTCTGTAAAGATTTGGTTATTTAAACAGGCTCTGGGCTCAAAAATGATGTTTGCTCTTTAACTGTGGGTGGGTTGATTGAGTTACTCCTGAATCTTATCTAAGTAATTTTATGGATTTGTTTTTGTATGCTTTGTATTTTGTTGTTTCTAGCCTGAGTATGTGATTGGAGTAATCTAGAAGCATGGTGAAATAAATGAATAAAACTTTCACCCTGTCTCCAATCTTCTGTTTTGGGTGAAAGCTTCTGAGAAGGTGCATTTGTCAAGGATTTTGGAGGAAATGGGTTATCTGGATCCAGTGCAGTCAGGATCCAGACTTAGATATGGAACATAAGTGACATTATTTGCTTGTGTGGATTCTCTCCAAGGGATCCTGAATGGAGTAGGCGCTCTCTTGGTCCTCTTAGGTTTCTCAGCAGCTTTCAGTACCTTTGATCATGAGGATTAGGGGGACTGTTCAGCAATGCTTCTGGTTTTTGCTAAGTAGTGGGAAAGGAATGTTTGAGTCTGTGGCCAGGGCTAGGTGCTCTCTCCCATTGCATTTGACATCTATATCACTGTGGGGAGAGGTCATCATCAGTTCAGGGAGAGGTATCGTTAATATGCAGATGATACCTGATTACATGCCTCTACTGTGGGCCAAGTAGGAAATGCTGTAGGTAGTCTAATCTGGCATCTGGAGGCCGAAAGGCTTTGGATAGGATGAAACAGGCTGAAATTAAATCCCAGTAAAACAGAGTGGCTGTTTGCCCAGGAACCAACTGGTTTTTCTACTTGATTGATTGATTATGTGCCATCATGTCGATGTCAGCTCTCAACCATATACAGTGGGGCAAAAAAGTATTTAGTCAGCCACCAATTGTGCAAGTTCTCCCACTTAAAAAGATGAGAGAGGCGTGTAATTTTCGGGGGTGGAAACATCATGCTTTGGGGCTGTTTTTCTGCAAAGGGACCAGGACGACTGATCCGTGTAAAGGAAAGAATGAATGGGGCCATGTATCGTGAGATTTTGAGTGAACGGGGGTGGAAACATCATGCTTTGGGGCTGTTTTTCTGCAAAGGGACCAGGACGACTGATCCGTGTAAAGGAAAGAATGAATGGGGCCATGTATCGTGAGATTTTGAGTGAACGGGGGTGGAAACATCATGCTTTGGGGCTGTTTTTCTGCAAAGGGACCAGGACGACTGATCCGTGTAAAGGAAAGAATGAATGGGGCCATGTATCGTGAGATTTTGAGTGAACGGGGGTGGAAACATCATGCTTTGGGGCTGTTTTTCTGCAAAGGGACCAGGACGACTGATCCGTGTAAAGGAAAGAATGAATGGGGCCATGTATCGTGAGATTTTGAGTGAACGGGGGTGGAAACATCATGCTTTGGGGCTGTTTTTCTGCAAAGGGACCAGGACGACTGATCCGTGTAAAGGAAAGAATGAATGGGGCCATGTATCGTGAGATTTTGAGTGAACGGGGGTGGAAACATCATGCTTTGGGGCTGTTTTTCTGCAAAGGGACCAGGACGACTGATCCGTGTAAAGGAAAGAATGAATGGGGCCATGTATCGTGAGATTTTGAGTGAACGGGGGTGGAAACATCATGCTTTGGGGCTGTTTTTCTGCAAAGGGACCAGGACGACTGATCCGTGTAAAGGAAAGAATGAATGGGGCCATGTATCGTGAGATTTTGAGTGAACGGGGGTGGAAACATCATGCTTTGGGGCTGTTTTTCTGCAAAGGGACCAGGACGACTGATCCGTGTAAAGGAAAGAATGAATGGGGCCATGTATCGTGAGATTTTGAGTGAACGGGGGTGGAAACATCATGCTTTGGGGCTGTTTTTCTGCAAAGGGACCAGGACGACTGATCCGTGTAAAGGAAAGAATGAATGGGGCCATGTATCGTGAGATTTTGAGTGAACATGATGAAAATTACAGGCCTCTCTCATCTTTTTAAGTGGGAGAACTTGCACAATTGGTGGCTGACTAAATACTTTTTTGCCCCACTGTAGATAGGTCTTTGATACATTAATATTCAGATGCATCCTCCCCCTTGCTTAATATAATTGGGGAAATATTTGGTGCAGATCATTTGGCTTCTCAGCCAACATCACAGCATCCTCTGCATATGAAAGTACCAGCCAGTACCTCTCTACAGTCACGGCAAGTATTCCTTATACTTATCCACAAATAAAAATCCAAGAGGACATCGGGTATCCTTGTCCTGAAGTCTTCTCAGTGTTGAAGCATTCCATTGGTTCTTATGCATGCTTTACTTCCATCATATTCTGCTCTTACTGCATTCAGTAGCCATCTATCAACTCTGTAGTCATGCAAAACGCTCTCTAGCTCAAGTCTATTCTAAATCAGCAAATATACAAGGGTACACTGCATCTTCCAAATTTTGCTTATGGTCACCTCTCATGCCCTAAAATTATAATTCTGCCCAATACTTTCCTAGGCACACTTAAACAAACTAATTCCCCAGTAGTTTTTGCATTCATTCTTGCTCCCTCCCTTTGTATAAGGAATAATAACAGCTATTACCTATATAAATCTCAAAAGTTCTCATATCACTTCAGTTTTGTCTCATTTTATCGCTTTTTTAAAAATGCCATTTATCCTTTGGGTAGCTTCTTCTTAGCCCTCTTCACCCACTTCCAAAATAATCTTTTTCCCCCCTCAAAGTTGCACTTTCTCTGCCTCTTTTTGTCTTATGTATTCTTATTCTTTGACTCCTTTCTTTGTCTTTTTCTCTCTATGCATATTATTATAGCATCTTAATTTCATCATTTTTGCAGCAGTCTTCTCTTATGTACCTTGTTTCCTCATCCACGGTCTCTGGCATTTCATAATTCCACCAAACTTCCTTTTTTTATATTTCCCACGTGCGAAATACCACATGGCTGTGATTCTCTGAAATGTAATTTTTTCTCAGTGCTCCAAGCAGCTGCCACACGCTCTTTCTTTCACTCCATGGGAAGAGTAATCTGACTTCTAACACTTTTCATACATGACTTACACTTTCTCATCACCCTTGTGTTCCTCACTCATTCTCTCAGTTTTCCATCATAAACCATCAAGTCAATCATGCTTTTAGATTTATATTCCATTCTTTGCCATGTGTACATGTAAAAAACCATGTACTTGATCAGAGCACCTTAAGTCATATCTGTTATATACATCTCCTATCTCTTAGTGTCACGGACACGCAGTATACTTTTAAAAATGTCATTAATGCACACCCATCACCATTTGTTGTTATCATCATTGTCTTGTTATAGTCCGAGTGGCAATCTTTCCTGTGCCGTGGTTGCCAGCAGATGGGCCTAAAGGGATGGACCTCCACCGCCCATCCTGGCTTTGGCCTAGCAGAGGTTTCACATAATGCTTTCAAGGAAGATAGACATGGTCTGGATTTGGTTGCCAGCCTCCCTTGCACCTGTGCCATTCCCTGTTGAATGGCATCAGTTCCCATCAGTTCTGGAGAGCCTTGGCGCAGCTTGGTCAGTAGGCCACGAGCATAGCCAATTGTGCCCCAAGTGTGCTGACAGGCGAGCCAGGATGTGGACTTTAGAGACTCTCTGGCAAGCCAACCTCCTGTGGCTGATACCCACCAATTAGGAGGACTGTGCAAATCAGCAAGGCAGGATGTTTCTGATTGGGGGGAAAAAACTGGGAACATAATAAAAGGGAGCAGTCCTGAGGTTTGCAGGGGGGAGGTAGTCTGCGGTACCTAGCTTGCCCACCTCTGAATGTGATGCGCGATTTGCGCAGCAGCTTCCCTGAATGTCATACAGACTTAAATCGCAATGGACGCAGTGCTACCTGCTGTTAGCTGGAAACATGCACAAGCGATAGACCAGCAAACTATGTGGGTACCTTAGGCTCTGCTGTTGCTGGCAGCCTAGGATGCTCAGAAAGGCTGCATGGGGCATGGCATCCACTCATGGGTTATCTGTCCTATTGCCTCCCACTTTTGCACCCCAAGATTCTCCCCGGAGGCTGTGGAGCGACTTTCAGATGCCTGGAATCACCAACTATACAACAATGATGCTGAGCCCAGATGGCAGGGTCCTGTACGTTGGTGCCCGCGAGATGCTTCTTGCTCTCAACACAAGCGCCTTCTCTCCTGGGCCACAGCACCAGCAGGTCAGTTCAGAATACCCACGGTCTCTTTGCTCACCTTCCTCGCTGGAGAGAGGGTAGGAAAAAGGGCTTTGGGGTGGCATTCCTGGCTGGCAGCATCTAAGGAAGCCAACCATTCATTGATCGTCATGCTGGAACTGGCATGAAGGAGCAGCTGTGCAGTGTGGGTAGCAGTGCAGACGTCTCTCCCTCCCTCCAGCTGTATGAATCCCCTTGGCCTGCCATCTCATTGCACAGTTGCCATATTTGGTGTTAGAGACAAAATCCAGCAGCGTGAAAACTTTGTCTCTTAGAGAAGGAAACGTATAATCTCTGAAGGGGGAACCGTTTGAAGGAGTGGGGGTGGAGAGGGCCTGGTCAGGGGTTTGCTGCCGGCAGGCAAGTAATACACATTCCCCCTTATCAGAAGATGGTTTGTGTTGGCTGGTCTTGGGGCTGCTTCCTTCGTAGTAAGTATCTAGACCTGGAATTGAAGCATGATCGACTGATGCCAGGTTTGCCAATGAGTGGTGTTGCTTGGTGAGTGAGGTTTGAGGCAAGCACCAGTGAGTGACTCAAGGGACGAGCAGAGAGCAGCAGGGCCGTTGAGCAGCGGACCCCTCAAGAGGTCAGGCAAGGGATTGCCTCCACAGGAAGCGGTGTGATGACAACATCTGTTCCTGTCCTGCAGCTGGCCTGGGATGCTGAGGAGGAAAAGAAGCAGCAGTGCATCTTCAAGGGCAAGGACCCTCAGGTGGGTAATGCCAGCCCGCCCCCCCAGCTAAGCTCTGGCGAGAAGAGCAGTGCTCCCTTAACCAGGGTGGCTGGGATTCGTCAGGGCATTGCCTCCCCAGGGCAGCCAGAGCACAAACCCAGCAAGACCTGTTGAAGGCTCTGGAGGGCTGGCTGGGTTGGGGGTGAAACATTCCTTTGGCCGGTCTTGAGCCAAAGCCGCTCCCTCGCTTTGCAGAGAGACTGCCACAACTACATCAAGGTCCTGCTGCAGCTGAATGACACCCATCTATACACCTGTGGGACCAGCGCTTTCAGCCCCACCTGCACCTACATTGTGAGGACCATCCCAGCCTGAGTTGTTCTTCTTCACGGACTTGTTTTGCTCAGTGTGGCATAGCTTGAGGCCCTCCAAAAGTTGCAGATGAATGTTTAGTGTGACAGAATAATCAGGCTAACTTAAACCAAAGCTGATTTCCTTGTTATCCTGGTCCTGCCTTCATACGTTCACAAACTAAGTAGAGTCCTGAGCCCCCCCAATGTTGTATGCCTTTAATCTAGTTTAAGGTATTGGCCTTCAAAATAAGACATTTTTTAACCCAAGGCTGAAATTAGTTTCTTGCAAGGGTTTTCACAGCTGACCTGGACAGCCTTGCGCAGGGTCAAGCCCTCTTCCAAAGTGGTGGGAAGACCCAGCCCAAGGCCACATTCTGGGCAGCAACCCTTGCCTGCTGCAGGGTGAGTACCCAACTCTACTGGGTTTGCCTGGCTCCCCAACCTCCCCTGCTCCCTGCGTGGGCTCCCTGCTAGAATTTGATTCCAGGGTCTTTCCCGAGACAGAAATACTTGTTCAGGAGCTCTGAGAGGCTGTGTTTGCAGTGTCTTCCTCCAGCCAGCTCAGGCCATGTGGGGTTTGTGGGAGGGCTCCAGCCTTCCCTGGCCTGCCCCTTTCCTGCGAGGGATCCAGCCAGTCTTGGTCAATCTCTGCATTGTCCTCTCTTCCTGCAGAGCCTGCCAGACTTCCAGCTGAAGCGGGACCCTTCTGGGCAGCTCCTGCTGGAGGACGGGAAGGGGCGCTGCCCCTTTGACCCAGAGTACAGATCCACAGCCATCATGGTTGGTAAGGAGCTCTGGGGTTGTGGTGGGGGGTGAAAAAACAGGGGCCCTGGGTTCTTGTGGATGGAAGGAGAGGCGCTGCTGCCTCATGAGGGTGGGGGATTATCCACCCTGGGCTTGCAGACCACAGACACTACTGGGAGGGGGTCTTCTCTTCCCTCTCTTGGTGGGGAGGAAGCACCAGGTCCAGATAGCACATGCAGAAAGCTTCCCATGGCCCTGATGGATGGCTGCTTTCTCTCAGATGGCGAACTGTATACAGGGACTGTAAGCAAGTTTCAGGGCAACGAGCCCACCATCCTCCGCAGCCTTGGCAGCCGCCCACCCATCAAGACAGAAAGTTCCCTCAACTGGTTGCAAGGTGTGTGATGGGCGGCTGGAGGAGGAGGGTGACGACTGGGAGCATCTCTGGGCAGGGGGGCGGGGGGCAGGGAGTTCACATCTCTAAGCACCCGAGAGAATGGCCCTGCCACTCGGCGGACTGGTCCCGGAGGACGGAAGAGGGCGGAGAGCTCTTTGGATGGCATGAAACAGCTGCTACTTGCCTTTCTGTAACTTCAGCGGATTCTGTCTGGGCTCTGATTGCTCTGATGTGGCATTCTGTGATCTCTGCTTCTTGGGCTACTCAGTGTGTGGCAGCTTCAAGATGGCCTTGGCTGATCTCCAAATGTCAAGCCAGGTTGGACCAGCTGGTGTTTGGAGGGAGCTCCGACTGTGGGCTAGGTGGGGTCCTGGAGGGAGCCAACGATAAATGCCTTCTCGGCTGTTGCCATGAAAACAACACGGACATGTCCATGAAGGCACCAGGATCGGGGCTGATCAGTCTCTTAGTTCTTGGGTGGCTGCTCTGTCCATGTTACTGCTGGTTGCCATAAATGCTATTGTAATCATAGGTTTAGTTTTTAACTATGTCATTGTTATAATGTTCTACCGCCCTCAGTACCCTGCCAGAAAATTTTCTAAAACATGAGATATAAACATGAAATAAATAAAATGAAATTAAAAAGCAGCCAGATTTTTAAAAATATAGCTAAATTATAGTTTTGAATTTTGGCATTGGGAGGTGTGGGTCTCCCCTCCCCACAACCTGTCCATCCTTTGATTTACCAATGTAGCTAATGCAAAAGACACCACTTTGCAAAAACTGCTTGCTGCATATTATGAGAAAAACTTGCTGGCTGGACGCTTCCAAGTCTGTTTTCAGCAGGAAGAAGATGCAGATGGAGATCTCCCGAGGGGAATCTTCTTCGCTGGAGAAGTAGATGCGAGGGGAAGGGGAAAGGGAAGGGAAGGGCTCCACTACCTCTTTCTGCCAGCCCAGAGGCTGGGGCGCGGGGCTGCTCTGAAGGGCCTCCCGTTAGCCCTGGCTGGAGAGCCCCTTGGGGGATGGCGGTGGCGGTGGTGGCAGCTTTGTCTGCACAGCTTCCCTCCTCCTCCTCCGGTTTTTCTTTATTTCTGGGGCCCGGGGGCCTTAAATGGAAGTGGAGAAAAGGAAGGACCCAGTACTGCCTTCTTTGTTGCGTTGCAGAGCCATTCTTTGTGGGCTCGGCCTTCCTGCGTGAGAGCAGCACCCAGGAGGATGATGATGGCAAGATCTACTTCTTCTTCAGTGAAACCGGCAAGGAATTCGACTTCTTTGAAGACACCATTGTGTCCCGTGTTGCACGTGTGTGCAAGGTGAGGAGTGTGGGGGGGTGAGCCGAAATCTGTTTGTGCTGCTTTTTGCCTCTGCCTCTGCAGTGCCAAGCTGGTTGACGTGTCTTGAGCTGGCTGGGCACCAGCAACGACTGGCAACCGCTCTCAGTGCAGAAAAGCAGCCAGAACACCCCTGTATCTCCCGGGTGCCTTTCTCGGGAGAACTAAACTCCAGCATCCATAACAAGGACCGAGTCCTTTCAAAGCACATTCTGAGGATACTGCCAGGTGATCTAAGGACTGGGGGGTTCCCCCAAAATGGGGATTTCTCTTAAAATCAGCGTGTGGTCAATCGGAAGCGACCATTGCTCTAGCAGGACGTTTTGCTAAAACTACTTCAAGGGAAGTGCAGCTGTAGATAAAAGCCTTCTCCTGGCTGAGGCTCCTGGCATCTGAATTGACTTGCAGAAAAGATCTGCATGAGCACTCATTTTATCTTCCTTTTCTGATGGGACCTGGTAGGCTTTCAGATGAGGTGGGTCTCCAGAAAGGAGAACCCGCCCTCTGCCAACCGAGCCAGCTGGTCTCAGGATCACTCAGAGACCCTTTCAGTCCTCACCCAGCGTGATGAATGTTTTCTCTTCTGAAAAGGAGCAGCTGGTTCCTTGGCACAAACATCCACTCCTGCCTTTCTCTGTTGAGCTCTCTCGGTCATACTGCCTGCAGCTTTTACTGTTCACTCTTCCTCTCTCTGCCATGCTTGTAGGCTGCCCAAGTTTCATGTGGCCTCAGCAGGCTGCATGAGGGAGGGAGGCTTGCTGGGTTCCCATGGGCTGGGACTCGAGGACGGAGGGGCAGAGAGCCGTGGCCAGGACGGCGTTCAGTAGCCGATTTCTGCGTCAGAGGAAAGGAAGAGGCTGTGGAAGGTGGATCTTTTGGCAGCCAAGCAGGATGAGGAGACTTCAGCTGGAGTCCAAAGTAGCACCAGGCAGGACTGGGATAGGCTTGGATTTAGCGAGTGAGCTGCTGCTCTTTCAAACAAAATCTGTGGCTGCCTTTCAACCTGGCAGTGGATTGTTGGAACGTGGCTTGGCAAACTTTGTGGCAGCTGCCACCCTCCTCCTCCTCCTCCTCCTCCTCCTCCTCCTCCTGCTGTTCTTGCTCACTCCTGCTTCCTCTCTCTCCTCCCTGCCAGGGCGACTTAGGCGGAGAGCGGGTACTCCAGCGTCGATGGACAACCTTTCTGAAGGCTCAGCTGCTATGTTCCCACCCAGAGGATGGTTTCCCCTTCAACGTGCTTCAGGACATGTTTGTGTTGACGTCAGGCGAGCGCTGGCCAGAAACGGTCTTCTATGGGGTCTTTACCTCTCAGTGGTGAGCCTTGGGAAGATTGACACCCAAAACACCCACAAAGGGGTGGCCTGGGTGAAGGTCATAGTAGGGGCACATCATGATTAAGGCCCAATGTGCAGGTCTCAGGAAGAGGGGAATTGTGGGAAAGGGCACCTTTCCTCTGGGCATCCCATGGCCCATGCTGCCTCTCCTGTGCCTCTCTGTCAGGGATAGGAAAGGCCCTGGGACTGCAGCGGTATGTGCCTTCTCCATCTCAGATGTGAAGGAAGCCTTCAATGGCCTCTACAAAGAGGTCAACCGGGAGACGCAGCAGTGGTATACAGACATCCATCCTGTGCCAGAACCCCGCCCCGGAGCAGTAAGTAGCTTCCACAGTCTTGGGATTAAAGCTTGTAGGTCTCTCTTCATCCCCTCCCTCTTCATCCCTACCCAGCCATGGTTATTCCTCCCACTATTCTGTTGAAGTTATGGGTATCCAGGATCCCTAAACCTTTGCAGAGAGTCAAGAAGATGACTTTGATGGAGATATGCAGAATCTGTTGCCTAGGCAAAAGGGGGTGAAGCATTTTTAAGTCCAGAACGTCCAGATAACATGTTGAAGCCGCTCAGGCAGAGGCCTCCCTGATTCACTGGAGCATAACGAAGAGGAGGAGGAGGAGGAGGAGGAGGAGGAGGCGGCACGGAGCAATCAGACTGGCAAGATGCTGTTGTTAGAGCCCATCTCGATAAAGTAGTTTTAGCCTTCCTTTGGAGTTGATTTCTTGGTCTGGTCTATCGTACTTTTCCTGGAAGTGACAAACTAAAATATGATGGGATTGTAATTTGCCTGCTGAGTATCAGCTACTGTAGCCCATCTGCCCATTTTTCTTCTGGGATAGTGTCAGATTTCATGACAGCAGCCCATTTTGCAGCCTTTTCAGAATAAGAAGCTGGTACAGTTACAAGGGCCCATTTTGGCCACTGGGTCCAAGGACAGGTGGCTCTGCTTGAACACATCTGGTGAAAGGGAGCCCACCACCCCTTTGCTTGACATCACTATGAAGCCATTGTTACTTTTTTCAAGCATTCTATTCTAATCTGTCTCTCATAATTCAACTCCATTTATTCTGTTTCTGTCGTCTGTCTAGATTAGATTAGATTAGATTAGATTAGATTAGATTAGATTAGATTAGATTATTAGACAAAATCTGAACAGAACACCACTGAGTGCTCTGTGTGTGTGTGTGTACATTCAAAGTGACCATGACACTGAAAAAGGAAACTTATGACCTGTCCTTGACATTGTGGCTGTTGCAGCATCCCTGCAGTCACATGATTGCAATTCGGGTGCTTGGCAACTGGCACGCATTTACAACAGTCACAGTGTCCTGTGGTCACACGATTGCCATTCACAGCCAGCTTCTGACAAGCAAAGTCAATGGGGAAGCTGGCAGGAAGTCACAAGTCACGGTCATGTGACATTGCACTTAACGACCATGAGTGATTCACTTCACAACTGCAGCCAGAACTGATGTTATAAGTGGTCATGTGATGTTTCACTTTATGACCGCATTGTTTAGTGACAGTTGCAGTCGGTAAGTGAGGACCACCTGTACATACATGTCAGTAAGTTAAATGAAAAAATGACAAGTCAAGAGAGCCCATAAGAGTTGGTAACCCAACAGGTTGGCATTGGTGCATCCTTACTCGTTACAAGATTAATACTGATGGATAGGAAACACGTTGTCTCTAACTGATATGTAATAGGAGAAGGATTAAGAGGCCAAGATCCTTGTAAACCTCCAGGAGCAAGAGTGTCCGTGGGGTGGGGAGGAGAAACGTTCTCTAAAGTGTAAGAACATTGAGTCGTGCCATTTATTAGAAGATGGGACCTCATAGGTTCTGTAAAATGAATTGTGTTTTCCCAGGAGACAAAGGCAGGGATGACTCCTTTCAGAAGATAGTCCTGCTGATCATTGTATCCCTGAAGCTGACTCCAAAGCCAGGGCTGCCTGGGAAAAAGGCATGTTGTGGAGAGAAAAAGCTAGTGATGGCAGAATAAGATGGAGAAAACACCTCCTTTAAGAAAGAAAAGGCTGCTGCCCATATTGAAAAAAGAGAACAAGAGAGGGTGGCCTTGAAAGAGAAGGGAAGGTGAAGGAGTTCTCGAGCTCAAGAGAAGCGTGACCCTCGGCTCCAAATAAAATCGTTTCTCCATAAAGGGTCCCATCGCTAGAAATAGAAATGGAGGGAAAGGCTGCAGCTGCTGCTCAGGTAGAAAAGAAGGCAGGCAGAAGGAAAGGCAGAAGAAGGGAGGGAGCCGCCCGTTGACAGCTGTGAGTTTCCTTGTTCGTTTTCCACAAAAACTCAGTGGCCAAAAATTAATCTGGATGAATGGCTGGTGGGACGTAGGAGGGGCCCAGGAAGAAGCTGGAGAGAGCATCTGGACTTCTCCAGCCTTGCCTCAGTACACAAGATGGTTCCCCCATCCCCGCAGGTGACCTGGGTTGGGAGGCAATTTACCCGTTGCTGCCCTGAATTAAATCCATCAGGGCAGGTTGCACTGCTGAGGCACAGCTGGACTGAAATCTTTTACTGCCAACTTGAATGAACAAACAAATGAACTTTTGATTACAGTCCAAGAGCAGATCATAAAAGTTAAAAGAATCAAATAGATCTGAAAATAGATAAAATCTTATGGATTAAGTAAATTGCCTACTTCTGTTGTTGGAGCACAGAATTTCGCTGTTGTATAGGGGATTTCAGGGCGCTTATCTTCTAGGACAAATTCTAAATACCCTTGGTGTGAATGACCAGGTAGCCTAGCCATTATGGGTTGGATTAGTTGGGAGCTCGATGCCTTGTAAAATCTACGGCCCACAAAGACATGTTCTAAGGCTTCAGTTTCATCAGAGGCACAGGGGCATTTTCTGGTTATAGCTACTGTACTGATTGTAGAGGGAAGGGTGTTGAAGCTGCTCTACCAAAGGCCCAGCCACATTTGGAAAAGGATAATGGGTATAAGTATTGGGCGGGTTGCAGCTTCCATTTTGGTTGCCGAGTTGGTATAGTTTTGGAGCAACTGCATGTCTCCTGCTTTGTGTTTAGTAGCCTCCTTTGCTTTGTCCAGTCTCATGGTTAAAAGGGAATCAAATGGGGCCGCTTGCCGATTACAGTTCTGCACCATTTGGATCAGAAGATGCCCCACTCCAAAAAGGGCAGGGGCCCGGTAGGAAATATCTGTCCCACCAGAGCGGAGAGGGCGGGCATGCTCCAGGTCCCTTCCCTTGAACTTTGTCTCCTTACGGGTCCTTGGAAGCGTGCCTTTTCCACGGCAGCCCCTGCCCAATGGAACGTCCTCCCCCTGGAGAGCCAACAGGCCCCCACCCTTTTAACCTTCTGGAGAGCACTCAGGGCCCGGCTCCCCCAGGCGCTGGGACAGGGGCTGAAGGTGTGGCTGCGGCATCAGGTTTTTTGGCGTTCTCTTTTCGGTTCTATTGCTTTTCGTTTTTAGCTGTACGTGTTGCTTTTATGGTTCTACGGCTGCCCAGAATTTGGTGTTAAGATGGACGGCTGTACAAATGTTTTAAACAAATAAATAAATTGATCGATTGATTTTCAGACGGTAGGATGTAATTAATTGCCAACTCAAGCAGGGAGATGTCTGTGTTAACATAGCCATGTGCCCAAAGTCTGTCTTCCAGCACTGCTGCTTCGAAAGATCTCCCAGTGGTAGGAGTGGTAGAGCAGCTGAGTGAATTGTTGAGGGAGGTGTTCAGACATGCAGGGCACATCAGTGAATGTATTCAAGCAGAGTTACTGCCTGCTTGTGGCCTCTTGGCCTTCTGATAGCTCTGCCTGGCTCAGATTAAGAGGATTGGGGTGGCTGCTGCCATTCCCAGCTGCTCTTAAGTCGTCTTATCTGGAGTAGCAGGCTGTGCTTTTTAAAGTACAAAATTAGTACTTTGCTGTACTAATTGGACTGAGGAATCTGAAACTTCCAAAAAATCAGTAGAAGAATTAAAGGTTCTTTAAAAGCCAACAACAACCCCTTGCCAGATCCTGTTCTAGACTGTCAGCCAAAACATTTCTTCTAAGCCATTATGAGTATTGTGTGAGGACGAGGGCTTCAGTGATGGTAAAGACTTCCAAACAACCCTTCTGTTGCTCCATCCTCCCTTGCGAAGGACATTCATGTTATTTGCAGCATAACTCTTGTAGGTGGCGGGGGGGGCAGTTAGGATTCCGACTGATGCTTTTAGCAGGTTTGGATAGCCCTTGTTTCTCCCTGGGAGAAGCTGGGTTCTCAGGCAGCCTCCTTTTATTTTTCCATTTGCTCTCTGTCTTTGCTATTGTTCCTGGCCCTGAAGGAAGATATTCTTATTTTCTAGAAAGGCTTCAAATAAGGACTTAGTCATCAATTTTATCATTAGCTGACGCTAATTGAGCAGAAGTTGAGATCACTAGTAAACTGAAATCAGAAGAGCCAGCAATGTCCTTCATGGATTCAGTGAGGAGAGTGCCAGCCAGATCCTCCTCCTTTTCTTTGAGCTCCTTATTAAATCCACATCATATCTCACCTCCAGTTACCACCCGTTGCTCCTCTTTATTCTGGGCAAGTACTTCCAATATATTAGGAGCATCGCAAGAGTTCGAAGAGCTGGAACTGCTTGCCATCCCTTCTTCTCTGGGTGCAGGAGGCCTGGGCTTCTCCTAAGCCTCTTCTTGGATTTTGCAGCTTAATATGATTTCCTCAGATGGCTTGGTTGGATTTGTTGCCCATCTTACACAAGCAATGAGTATTAAAACCATACTAAATTTAAAACAGTTTAGTCAAATAAGTAGGTAGCGAAAAGGGGAAAAGCTGATGGGGAGCTCATGAAGTCAGAGCTGTCAACTCACTGTCTTGTCCATACATCTTGCTAAACCGCGACACTGTGTTCAAGCAGAGCCTGAGCTCCCATCTCCTATGGGTCCCTTAACTGAGCTGCTGAACTCAGCGAGAGTTGGAACTGGCAGCCTAAATCCATGTTTCTCAACCTCAGCAACTTTAAGCTGTGTGGACTTCAACTCCCAGAATTCCCCAGCCAGCTCCAGGGTGGTAACCAGGGTCTGGAAAACTTACACTGGGCCAGAATGCCTCATCTGCATGATTAAATGGGCTGGCTACGTGGAGCGTGTGATTTCCTTGTGAAAAGAAGTTTCTAAGTTAAAATGTAGCCTGTCAAGTCCTGCAGCACTTGGGGCCAGACTGAAAGACTGGGGAAACCCACCTGGCCTTCAGCACCTTCAGGAGAGACGCTAGCTCAAAGGCTGGTGCCAAGAGAGGGAACGGTCCTGGCCAGGTTTAAATGTGAATGCAGGTGCAAAGAAACACAGCTTTCCATAATGTGTCTCCAGCACCAGCGTCTTCAGCTGCTCACTGTTCAGGTTCCTGCTGCAATCGGTTTTTGCTCGTCCCCACTGCATTTCTATAAAGAAGCGATGCGCCAGGAAAGCTACCAGTGGCAAATGGCTGCTCTGCGGGATTCCCACATGTGGAAACCTTGCAGGCTGGGGCTGCTCTGCTTTTTGCCATGTGTGTAAGAACACTAGGCCTCATCTGCATGTACTGGCAGAATAATTCTTTAAACGTCTAAGCCTCTTAAAAGCATAATGTTTTAAAAATGAGAGTTGAGCTAGACATGTTGTAAACTCCTGTGCCACTCCTACCTTTTGTTTTTGGATTAAACATCCAAACATAGCAGTCCCCAAATCCTGGCTTTTATTACTATTACTACTACCACTACTATTATTATTACTGCTACTACTACTACTACTACTACTACTACTACTACTACTAGTTTGAGAAAAAGAAAGCAAACCTCCCTTTCCAGAAAGTACCTGTTTGGAGTCTTAGCTAAAAACAGTTGAACGGTAGGAGACTCGCTGAGCTGCTGGGCCGAAGAGGGATTTGAAAGCCTCTTCTTTTCCTCCCCAAAGCTGCCCTGGGTGGGACGGTTGGAAGGGTCGGAGGCGGACGAGCGCCCTGCTCGAGATCCCCAGCGCCGGTGCAAGCAGCAGGGGCTCCCTGGGGCTAACCCGGCTAAAATTCCACTCCTTCCCCAGTGCATCAACCGCCACATGCGCCAGATGAAGATTGCTTCTTCGCTCCATATGCCAGACCGGGTGCTCAACTACCTCAAGGACCACTTCCTAATGAACAGTGCTGTTCGGAGCCAGGCCCTCCTTGTGCAAGCCCGTTCCCGTTACCGGCAGCTGAGCGTGCAGCGTGTCCAGAGTCTGAGGCAGACCTACGATGTCTTGTTCTTGGGCACAGGTGAGCAGGAGGAATGGGAAGGGCGGGCAGAGGAGCCTATTTGTTTGTTCTGCTGCCCCCATCTTTGGCATTGCCATGGCTTCAGACTGATCCACATCCATGTATAAGTGGGTATGTGTGGGAGAAGGTGTGAGTTGGCTGCTACAGAATTTTGTGAAATGGGGGTGTCAGTGCAAAGTTAGGAAAAAACGGGAGAGGAAGCATCTTTGGAGGTGATGCTAGAACTAAACCCTTGTTGCTGAGGTAGCTGTCAGGTTCAGCCCAAGAAGAGCAGCGAGGCAATCCAGTTCCTTTATTAGCTCACACCTAATGGACAAAATCTCGCCAGACTAAACCTATGCTAAAGCAACTAGTGGCTATAACTCGTGAGACTCTAGGGAGGGGCCAGCCTCATCCTCCTCATCTTCCCACACTCTTGCTGTGGGCTGAGGAGGCTTGTCCTAGAATGCCTCTCCCCCCTCCTGACAACCTTGAAGTTCCATTCCAGAATCTTCCCCGCTCATGCCATCCATTACAGTAGCGTCCTGAACCTGCCAAGAAGGGAATCCGTGCCTCTCCCGTCTCCTCAGAGGTCCGACGGAGGAAGACCAGGCCTGCCAGAAGCAGACAAGAGTGCAGAGACATGGAGGAGAGGGTGGAGTGGTGGGGGACCAATGGGACCTCTCACTGGGCGGCTCTTGTGTATTGCAGATGATGGTCGCCTGCATAAGGCTGTGATCACCGGACAAGGAGTCAGGATTATTGAGGAAATCCAGCTGTTCTCTGCTGGGCAGCCTGTCCTGGAGCTGCTGCTGGATTCCACCCAGGCAAGAGCAGAAAGCGAAAGGGGAGACCCGGGGCGAGGAGGGGGCTTCAGAATCAGTGCCATTCAGGCTGCTGTTTCACTCTCTTCTCTCCTCTGCTTGGGAAGGATGTGTGCCCTGGGTTCCTGCTTAGGTCAGCAAGAGGCAGATGCTGTGGGTGCAGGATAGAACATGGGGCCTCTCTCCGAATCACAGAGACTGAGCAAAGGAGTCCTTCCAGATGCCAAGGGGATGCTTCTGCCCTGAGGAGGAAGCTTCAGCAGCTTCCAAAGTGCTTGGTTGGGAATGCTGCATGGTGCGCCTACTGTACCCCCGTCTGCTGCAGCATCTCCTGTTCTCCCCACAGGGTTTGGTTTACGCTGCCTCGTATGATGCCCTGGCACAGGTCCCCGTTGCCAACTGCAGCCTGTACCGGAGCTGTGGAGAGTGCGTCCTGGCCAGAGACCCTTACTGCGCCTGGAGCGGAGCGGCCTGTCAGCTGTTTGTCCCCAGCCCTCGCCAGGTCCAGCCAGCGTAAGTGCTCCCCCAAGGGTGGGCTGGCTTCCCAATCCCCAGCCACCACTGCCCCCATGTGCTGCCAGACCGTTTGGTGTAACAGAAGCGGCCGCCTCCTCTCTCCCTCTCCCTTGCTGTTCTTCTTCCTCGCGGCAGTCCACACGCGGGCAGATGTGATCCCTGACATGGTCCGCCGAGACCCAGGGATCAGCTTTCCCTTCCTCCTGGGCAGTGCTGCCTGGGCTTCACCCTGCTTCTCCCATCAGGACCTGGGTCCAGGATATTGAAGGGGCTGAGACAAGCCAGCTTTGCCAGGCCAGTGGTGAGGAACTCAGCCATTCAGCAGGTAAAGGGCAGACCTGTCTTGGGGGGGCCTTGAATATCTGGAGGAAGGAAATGGGAAGAGCTGGTCCTCCCCTCCTGGCTCAGGAGCCAAGGAGTATCTTTGTTCTGCTGTGGGGCTGCACACACGTGCTTGAGTTGAGTTAACTTCTGAGAATCCTGTTTCCGTGAAGGCCGCAGTCTAATCTGATGTGCGCTCTCTCTCCCAGCGGAGCGATCCCAGTGTCATCAGGTGTTGCTCCAGCCCAATGCTGTGAAGTCATTGCCCTGCCCACTGCTGTCCAATCTGGCCTCCTGGCACTGGGTGCACAACGGGGCTGCCCTCAGCCCCTCCTTCCTGGTGCTGCCCAAGGGAGAACTGCTGCTGGTGGGGAGCCCTGGTGAAGCCGGGCGCTATGAGTGCTGGTCTCAGGAGGGCAGCTTCCAGCAGTTGATGGCTAGCTACTGTGTAAACGTGGAGCCGAGCCTCCAGGCCAAGCTGGTGCCCATCCAAGACCCTCTGAAGACTCTCAGCACATCCAGGAGTGTCTCAGGAGAGAGCATCTCGGCGCTACTGGATGGTAGGACCTACTGGACGGAGTTCCTCGTGATGTGCGTGCTCTTCGGCATTGCCATGACGCTGCTGATCCTTTTCATGCTGCACAAGCATCATGTCAGCCTGAAGGTCTTCCTCAAGCAAGGCCAATGCAGCTGTTCCCATCCCAGGACCTCACAGAATGGGGAGACTCTGCCAGCTGAGAATATGCCCCCCCTCAGTGGCCTGCCAGACCACAAGGGCTACCAGGCACTGTGTGATCGTCTCATGGTAAACTCTCCTGGGCACGATCCCTCAGCCTGCCCACGCATGGCCTTTTTGGAGTCTGATCGGCGACCACTTAACATTTCCAAGAGTTTTGTGGAGGTGTTGGCTCCTTCCCAGCGCCCTCGTGTTCGCCTTGGCTCTGAGATCCAGGACTCAGTTGTATGATCTTCCCCAAGAGGCACTGCTCTGTGAGCTTTCAAAGGACCAGGGCGTAGTCTTCCAGTGCCACTGTACTGTGGCATGGGAACAGGCAGGAAGGGTGGGCCCATTCGGTTGAGTAATAGGGCCAGGCACTCTAGCTTTGCAGCAGGGTTCCTGCGTGGCAGGTTGCAAAGCAGTGCCACTTAGCTTTGAGAAGAGGGGCAACCTCCAGATGTGTAAAGCATGTGCAGCCCCAGGTTCCAGACTGCATTCCAGGTCATGGGGTCTAGTCCTTGTAAGCACATCCAGGATGGAGCAGAATGGGAACATTAGCCTATGGGGCTTCTTCAAAGTCTGTGAGCCCGTAGCTCCTGTTTCTTTGGTTGGGACTGCTTGTGGGAGGGTAACTTGTGTGGTACAAAGGACCCTCCTGGAAGTTACATGTGAAAGGAGATACTCTGGTTGAGCATCCTGTCTTCGTGGAGGGAAGTTGGTCTGGCTTCTTGTGAACTGGGTACTGAGGAGAAAAGTGGTGGAACATTTAGTGCTAGAAACTCCCTTATGTGATTTGTGTGTAAAAGCAGAGATCGGGTACTGGGGAAGGGGATCGTGCTATAGCTGGTGTTCACTGACGAGCAGAAAGCATTGGGGAGCGTCCTTTGGGGCTTTCCACCGGAATGGCTGCACTGAAGGGTCCCTGCTCAGGGCCAGGTTCTTCCCTGGCCGTACAGCCAGAGCAACAAGGGCCTTAGCTTGCCATTTGTGCTGATGTAAAATGATGCATTTGACTACATTTTGTCTCCTGAGATTTGGACAGACCCAAATCCTCACAGGGGAGGCCTAACTTGTAGACCCTTCTCCACATCTAAGCATTGAACATCTTGTCTGTTCCACACAGCTAGGCTTAATATTTTGCCTTCAAGGGAAGGTAATGACCCACAACTCTTGGGTTGTGTTTGGGTGAAGCCATTGAAACAGTTGCTGCACTGCCCTTTCTACACTAGCTGGTGTTCTGAGCTAATTGTTCCCTGGTTACTAAACGTTTGGGCTGGCCTGAAGACAGGGAAGCGTATTTTTTATGAGCAGATCAGTTCGCTGGTTCCTCCGTTGAATTCCATTCAGTTGCGATTGCCGCTAGGAAGCACCGGGATTGAATTTGGCTTAGGGGTCCTTTTACTTTTTTTGAGTATGTTGATGACCTGTTGAATAATCTCCCTTGGCCCCTTTGGTCACTGGCACAGGGGCATTCTGGAAGAGCCAAGTTCCCTCCACCCCACTCGGCCAGGTCTCCCTCCCACCCAAGGGGGCCTGCCAGGATTCCTGCAGGGAGAGTTACTTCCTCTGTCCCAAGCAAGAACCTTCATGGGCTGCTTTGTGCTCCCGACTGGGCCTTACCCGGAAGGGAGGTGGGCGTGGCAGCTGCTGCACCTGTTGGCTAACCAAGTTGCAGGAGCTCTCCCCCCTGCTGCCTTTCCACCTGCGCGAGAGGGCTGGTCAGGGTGAAGCGAGTCAAAGCCTGGGAAGAGAGTGGAGCTCCTTTTTCTGTTCTTCAACTCCACTCCTTCACGAAGGCAAAACTGACCACCCTCTGCCATGCTGGGAGCAATAGAAATGAACTTGTTTTTTGGAAGGTGAAATAAAGATGGATGAACACGAGCGGGTTCCACTCACTGAATTTTATTTAGCAAAAGCGTAGAAGTCAGACAAAATCATGTCAATTCTGTATTTATAAAGCTCAAGAGACTGGGTCACAGGTGTGCTCTCCCCCCACCCCTCATAAAGCAAGAGAAACGGTCCAGTGATTCAGAACTCACAATATGCTCAGCACAGTTTAACTGGGAAGAGGGTCAGCTGCTCTGAGCAAGCTCCAAGCAGGCCGCCAGAAAGAGCCAGGGGTGACAGCAAGACTCAGAAGCAGCACAGAAGTCCCACAACAATTTGCTCTTGTTTTGATCTTTGATCTGTAGTAACCCCAAGCCACCACACAGAACCCCAAGGTGAAGCAGGAGCAAAGAGCATCAGCCACAGCTTCCAGTTTTCTTGTCCCGCTCCTCCCTATAGGAGCACCAGCTGATGGGCATGACTGCAAGGCCATGTTTTAACTGGCTGTAAGAGCCAGATAGGGCCTAGGTATGTTTACTGCATGACTGGTAGGTACGAGTTCCTCTGTCTTACGAGAGATCTTCTAGTGAGGGAGGAGAAGGGAAAACATGGAAAGAATCAGAGCACAATCTTGAAGGAACTGGAAGAGAAAGAGAGAAGGGCTTCATTATTCAAATAATGTTGATTCCTACCAGGTTCCTACTAAAGTACAGGGCCCTCCCAAAACATACTACTGATTCAACCAAGAACTCAACCCAAGGAAAACAGGCAAGACCTGGTGAAGTCTGGAGAGCGGGAAATTATATGTTGGAACTCAGAGAGGTTGATGGTCCCATCTTTATCAATATCAGATTCCTCTAAGATCTGCCAAAAAAACAGAGGGGCTGTGTGGGCCAGAGTCGGCTGTTGCCCTACTGCCAACCCTTCTGTTGTGACGCTCCAGCACTCACATTCTGAATGAGCTGGTCCATCTCTAATGCACTCAGCCTGCTGTCTTCTCCTTCACCTGTCAGGGAGTTTACCAGCTTCTCCAAATCCTTCTTATCTAGAGTGCCATCATCATCAAAATCTAAGGAGAAGATGGGGAGAGAAGCTGTGGTTAGTGTTCTCAAAGCTAGAAGCTCTCTTGGCTCCTGTAGAGGTTTTTTAGTTAGCTCCACTGCATTCAGGAGTGAGGGGACTGGTCGCTCTTATTTGGAAAGGTGAAAGTGGTTCTGCTCCAGTAATGCTTGCATAGCCAAGGATCCAAAGAGAAGCTGCCACTTCCATATCATCCAGTGAGTGCGGGGAGGAAAATGTTATTAAACCAGATTAACTCTTTGGACAGTTTTAAGATTCCCCAAGTCTTGCTTGCTAGAACATGCAGGCAAACTCAAGGAATATCCCGCACCTGTTCAAAAGCAGGCCCATCAACTGAGGAGGCCAAGGATGGAAGAGACTGGACATCGCTATCTGGAGGACTGTGTGTTCCCCCAATCTAAGTAAGCATTACCCACATAGGTGTGGCTATTCCCATTTGACCCCAACAACTGGCAATCAGAGTGCATTTAACCACCAAAAGTATAAAAACCGAATAGAGTTTGGGTGCTGCCTGTAGTAGATGTTCCTTGATTGGCCTTTTTTCGAGAAAGGAACAGTAGCTGTCATACTTGGATAAAACCCCCGTCTGCAAGCCCTTCTCTGTCCCTTCGCAGGCATAAAAACCTGGCTCTTACCGAAGATGCGGAAGGCATAATGTGATTTGATTTCCAGGGTAGCCGAGTCGCTAAAGACACTCAGCATGTCAAGAAAATCTTCAAAAGACATGTCGTCTTCCCCATTCTCTGCTGTGGAGAAGATGCGGCAGATCCTGTTCCGGAAGGGGTTCGCCTGCAAGAAGCGGGGCGGCCAGAGAAAGCAGGGGAGGGGTGCGTCAGTGGCAGAGGACGGGCGCCGACCGCGACCCCCGGGTCACCCTTCAGAGGAGGCAGCCCGGGAGGCGAGGCCACCCGCCCCGAGGGAGGGTCCCAGTCGCGGCTCACCCGCAGCTCGGGCAGCGTCAGGAGGCTGCTCCTGGGGATCCGCGTCTGCAAGGCCTGGCCGCGCGCCTCCTTGGGCAGCAGCTCGGAGAAGCGCTTGTGGGCGCTGCAAGGCAAGGCAAGGCACGGCGGCGGTCAGGGCCGCGCGGGGCGGTTCCTCCGGCCCGACGCGGAAATGGCGCCGGCGGCTGGCCCGGCTCAGTTCCTCCCGCGCCCTTCCTG